CTGTGGTTTAACTCTTTGAGAATGCTGGGTCTACAATAGGTGCCCTCCACTTCCCCTCTTCTCACTTTCTTATTAATTCTCTACAATCTGCTTTCTGACTTCATCATTCAACTGAAATGGCTCTCTCTATAGTTACCAGTGATCTCCTGATTGCTAAATTCGATGGCCTTTCTCAATCTTCATCCTTCTAGACCTTTCCTTTGATACCTCAGCCTTTGACACTGTTGATCACCCTATCCTCCTTGATACTCTATTCTCTTTAGGTTTTGGGGATACAGTTCTCTCCTAGTTCTCTTCCTATCTGACCACTCTTTCTCACTCTCCTTTACTAGACATTTATCCAACTTGTACCCTCAGAGAGTTTCTCCCAGGACTCTCTCCTGGGTCTTCTCTCCTCCTGTATCCTACTTCACTTGGTGATCTCATTGGCTCCCATGGATTGAATTATCATCTCTCTGCTGATGATTCTCGAATTTACTTATCCAGCCTTAACTTCTTTGCTAATGTCTAAACTCAAGTCAGCTATCTGTTAAACATCTCAAACTAGATATCCCCCATGCCTGAAATGCTCTTCCTTCTCTCCTCCAATTTCTGACCACCTGGGCTTCCTTTTAAGTGTCAGCAAAAATCCTACATTCTACGGGAGGCCTCCCCCAACTCCTCCTAGTTCTAGTGCCTTCCCTCTCTTATTTCCCATTTATCCTGTTTGTACATTTTTCTTTGCTTGGTGTTTCCCCCATTAGACTCTGAGCTCCTTGAGGGCAAGGATTAGCTTTTGCATTTCTTTGTATCTCTAGTGCTCAGCACAATACTTGGCACATATTAGGGCACTTAATAAATGTTATTGGTTGGTTGATTGACTAGCAGAAAGTATATGAGACTACCTGAAAGAGATTTCAAGTTCTTGCTACTTGTACCTTGGGCCCATTTCCTTGCCTACTTACCAGGCTTTTGCCCTGGGCCTCGTTTTGGTTTCACCTTCCCTCTCTGTGTATATTCCCTGATTCCTCGATTGCCTGTTGACCTGATGCTCCTTTCTTCAATCCAATCCAAAAAGCATTTTTTAAGTGGCAGTTATAAGCCAGGCCCTTTAGGAGATGCCCTCTCTGCTCTTAAGGAGCTTGAATTCTCCCACGAGTGAAGATACAACCCGTAAACAGATACGTGTTGTACCTGTTAATTTGAGGAGGGAGAGAGAACTGACAAAAGATTTCCTGTAAAAAATGGCACATAAGCTAAGCCCTAAGGGCAGATGGGGATTCTGAGTATCAGGGGCCTTCTAGGCATGCAGACGATCTATGCCAAGGTCTTAAGGAAAGAGGTGGAGCGTCCAGGTTGTTGAACAGTAAATAGGCCAGTTTGACTGGAACATGAAATCTGCAGAGGGAACTAGTGTTCCTGGTAGGTTGGAGCTATATTGTGAAGGGCTTGAAGTTCCAATCTGAAGATTTTTGAAATTTATCCTAGCAGCGAGAGGAGAACTGCTGTACATTATTGAGCAGAAAAGTGACGTGGTTGGGTCTATACAAGAAATTGGAGAGGGTGGATTAGAGAGGGGAGATGCCATGTGAATGCTGATGACAGTTTGTACCAGTCGGGGCGTGGTAGTGTACATGCAAGCTAGTGATATTGTTAAGGAAAGATCCACAAAACCTGCCAGCTGATTGGCTAACTAGAAGGGTGGTGGGCTCCTCAGAACCTCAGTTCTTCCAAACTATTAATTTTCTTGAGCTTGACTTGCCTGTCTTTCTTACTGATCTTACTTACTGATAAGCCTTTGTGACACAGTTGGAGTGTATTAGACATCTGTGACATCAAGCTCAAAATATTTGCTCAGTGGCTTGCATAATGGTAGAGATGGTGTGCCAATACCATGAAAGTGGGAAGTGGGTGGTCAGGATCTAGAATGTTATGACAAGCAGTGATTGAAATGCCACTTCACACTTAGCAAGGATGAATGTAAAGCCCTATGGCTCAGGGTGCAAAAATGTCAGCTGCTCTAGTGCAGGGTGTGAGGAAAAGACAGTACAAAGGACTGTGGGAGCTTCAAAGGGGACCATCAATGTCATGTGCTAGTCAAAAAAGCGAAGTGATCCTATGCTGGTGTTACTTTAGATATACAATGACCAGAACAAGGAAAGTGTTAGCCCTGCTGTCCTCTGCCCTGGTCCATACAATATGGGGAGTGGTCACTTCTTGGTGCCACAAGAAAGACAATAATTAAAAGCTGTGTTACTTCCAGAGGAAGGTGACTAAGCTTCGGGGTGGGGGGGGAGACCCTAAAATGTGCCATGTAAGGCAGTTAAAAGAACTGACATCTAACCTAGGAAGGAAAGGATTTGGGGTTTGGGTTGGGAGAAAGACTGAATTATTGGTTTCAAATGTTTGAAGAACTGTCACGTTGAAAGGAGATTAGAAAGTTAAGATTTAGAGCTACAAGAGACTTTGACTTCATCCCTGTCATCTTACAGATGAAGAAACTGAGGACCAGAAAGGTTCAGTAACTTACCTGGGGTAAAGTGGGAGAATCCAGATGAATTTAAAATTATTTTGTTTGGTCCCAGAAGGCAGAACTGGGACTGAGAGATAGAAGTTACATGATGGCAAATTTTCTCTTAATATAAGGAAATTCCGAAGAAGTAAGAACTGTCCAGGAATGGAATAGCTGCCATGATAGCTTGGGAATTCTACATCATTAGAAGAATGAAAGCAATAGTGAATATACTGTCAAGTAGCATTCACTTCAGGGAAGGGTTGAAGTAGATGCTAAATGGTTAAGATCTCTTCTTTGTCGGTGAGGAGATGACAGGTATGTGTGGTTGACTTGATTGATGTATTGATTGGTTTTACCAAATAGCTTTTTTTTTCCTTTTTTCGTTCTTTGTTACAAGGGATGGCTCCCTGGCTATGAGGAAAGAGGAGAAATACTTGAAAATGAAAGTAAAAGCAAAATAAATCAATAAACATTTTAGGTAAAAATTTTAAAATATTATATCATGGGAGTCATAGAATTTCAGAGTAGAAGGGACATCAGCGGTCCAGCCCTTCTTCAGAAGGAGTCCTTAACAATAATACCTGACCAGTAGTCATCCAGCTTTTGTTTGTAGCCTTCCAAGGAAGGGAATCCTACCACTTCTGGAGGCAGCCCATTCCATTTGGGGATTGCTCTCATTGTTAGGAAGTTTTTTCTGATATCAAACCCAAATTTATGACTTCTACCCATTTCTTGCTGGCAACTGGGGCCAAGCAAAACAAGTCTAATCTTTCTTTCACATGACAGCTCTTCAAATACTTGAATCTAACTATCATGTTCCATGTGAGTTGTCTCTTTCCAAGGCTAAACATATCCAGTTCTTTCAACTACTACTCATATGACATGACAGAAGGCCAGCCACCGTCCTGGTTGCCTAGAACTGAACACAGTACTCCAGGTCTGGTCTGACAAGGGCAGAGTCTAAAGGAACTGTTACCTCCTTAGTCTTGGAAGTTAGACATCTTTTAAGGCAGCCCAAAGTTGCACTTGCTTTTTTAGCTACCACATCACACTGCTGACTCACCAAGCTTGCAGTCCATTAAAAACCCCAGTTCTTTTTCAGACAAACTGCTGCTATCGTACCAAATCTCTCCCATCTTATGCTGAGGAAGCTGATTTTTTTCTACCCAAGTATAAGACTTTACATTAAACCCTATTGAATTTTATCTTAGAAGATTCACCCCAAGGTTCTCCTCTTTTGGATCCAGATTCTGGCATTCATGTGTCACCCAGCTTCATGCTGGACCTGCTTGGAGGTCACTAGGCCTCACCAGGAGGTGGCAGAGAGTCTGCCTACACCAAGTGCTACACTCCCCTATCCTCTTCTCTCTGGCCTCATTGCTATATATTGCCTTTTAAAAATCTAAGTCAGTTGGTAGATTGCCTATGCATTTGTATGTTCTCAAATCCCATTTTTCTTTCTATTGGAATTATTTCCCTTTGTATCCTTAGAATTTCCTTCTTGAGCATCTCCCCCTTCTCCTGGGCTGATTCCCCCTGAAGCATTTTAGCCCATGAGATCATCCCTATCCTGCCTTTGAAGTCCGCTTTCCCCAAATCCCAAATAACATTATGCCCAAATTTCCTCTCCTGCTGTGGTGGTCATCCACCCCCAATATTCCCATCATCTCTGCCCTAGCAACTAGTTCCTCTGTAGTAGTGAAAATCAGATTCAGAATAGAAGTTCCCCATCTATCTTTTGAAGGATAAAATTATCATTAGCAAGTGAAGAAATCTCTCATCTATGCCAGAGTTATTATGTACATTCCAGATTCCTCATCTGTTTTTTCTTTCTTTACAGGTAGTCTGTAATATATAAAGATAACAAATTCTCTTCTATTTTTCCTGCCTTTGAACTTCACCTAAATATCTTCAAATATCCTCAGTTTCCCTTAATATGTCAGACATGAGCATGTTCTTCTACTATATGGGGTATGTTACACTTTGCCAGGAGATCGCACCAGCTACCACTAACATTTGCACCTGAAATGTCATAAACTCCAGTTCTGTCAAAGGAATTAATGCCTGACTTTAAAAAAAAAATTAGACAAATTTTGAATTTTTCAGTTTTATCAGTGAGACCTAATAGCCCATCAATTTGTATAGGAAGGAAGTGTAACTTGAGAGGCAGCATAAAAGGGTAGAAAGAGCTGATCTTGGAGTTGGAAGACCAAGGTTCAAGGTCTAGCTGAGAGACTTATTAGCTGAATAACCATCAGCAAGTGGTCCCTGAGCTTAGAATTTCTGCTTTGTAATATTAGCATAATACTAACATGCTCAAGCTACCTTGCCAGGGTTATCATATGAGGAAAGCAGTTTGTAAACCTTGAAGTACTTTACAGACATGACTTGATATTGATTTTCAAAATGATGGGATCAGTGGGGTAAAGTGAGGTGATGCCTGATGGAATGGACTTTGGATGTACTCTGTACTTTGCTTATGAACAGAAATGTCGTTTCTTCCCAGATCTTCATCTACGTTGTCGTCTCAGTTGCCTGTGGTGGGCTTACCTGGCCAAGCTGTGTGGCGAAATAAATTCAGAACAATCTTAAGCCAAGAAGATGAGGGAGCAAGGATTTAAGAAGCAACCCAAGTAACTTCTTCCTGATTGCTACTGTCCATCCCTTCCTTCTACTTTTCTTCCATCATCCCCAGACTGCACTTTTCTTTGTGTATCCCAGTGTCCCCCAAATGGAGCCATCCAGTCACTGCTTTTGTGCCACTGCCACCTTGGTTGGAAAGGGACTTGTCATTTTGAACTTTTTGCTGTTACCCAGATGGAGCCACCCAGATCTCCAACTGCTATTTGGGAATAAAGAAGGCACACATATTGGTGTGACCATATACACCGAAGCATTTGCACTTTAATGGAATCCAAATGATGCATCTCAGCCTCATCCCTTCCGATACATACGGACGGACACTATTCCGAGTAGAGAATCAGTAGTGGGGGCACACCTTTGCTCCTTTGGGGGGTTGGAATTCCAGGATTGGTGCCGTCCGTCTGTTCGTTTAGAGCCCACTCAAGACCTATCATTGCTAACCAGGTGAGGGTCAGATCAATGATTATCAGAAAGGACCTGTTGGAATCCCTCAAGTCCATTCATCCCATATGGTATTTTCTGGCATCCAGTTCAGAAAAATGGACCAAAGTATTCCTCTGCTTTTCTGTTGCGATTGAGTTGAAAAAGTGATGGTTTCATTCATGTCCAAAGTTGGAACAATGTTGCTACTTTCCTTATTGTGTGTTTAAGTATTTTTGTCCTCTTGTGGGGAGGGGGGGCTCTTCAGATCAACCCTCTTGTTCCCAAAGTGGTAGAACTGCTTTGGCCAAGCATGATACAGGAAGAGAGACTCTAAAGAGCTTGGATTGGCTTGGAAGTTATTTAAGTAGAACACAGGAAATCTTTTTTTTTGGGGGGGGGGTTGGGCAGTGGGGGTTAAGTGACTTGCCCAGGGTCACACAGCTAGTAAGGGTTATGTGTCTGAGGCCGGATTTGAACTCAGGTTCTCCTGAATCCAGGGCCGGTGCTAGGAAATCTATTTCTTATGAGAGCTTAACAGTTGTGTGGTAGCTGAGAGTACCTCTCTCCCCATCCCCTATATTGGCTTTTATTGCTGCTCAGCTACCGACTGCACATCCTTCAAGGCTAGGCCTGTATACATTAAGTGTCTTTCTACAGTTGGACAAGAGATTTAGCAAATACTTGGCCAGAGCTCAGGTCACCAAACAAAGTGCATTTTGGTGACTAAATGGCCTTCATTGGTAGTGGAAAGGGCAGGATCCTTTAAAAATGTTAATGATTTCAAAAATCATTTGACTGGAGTGCAGATGGAAAGAAAGGAAATAGTATGGTGCATAAAAGGAACAGAAAGCAGTGTAGTGAACCTGTCTTGGAACCTAGCTAGAGGTCATGTAGTTTAAAGGACATACCTGCTATTAAGGAAATTGCGATGTGTATTTCAAAGAGAGCCAGGGGTCTGTCTATTGATTTCTCAATAAGTGTCCTTCAGTGAGATTATATGAAGCTTTGACCCCTTTGTTAACTGAAGAATTAGTGTCTGTGCTCCATTCTCTTCAGATTGCGGCTCCTCTTGAATTATCCCAGCCATGTGCCTTGACTATATATGCATCACATCATGTGGCTCACAGTGCCTATCCTTTTAATTGCATTCCATAATTCACACTGTTTCATTGGTACCTGCTCCTTCACCCCCTTCCCTTAACCCAAAATGCACATTGAAAGTATTACTGTCTCCCTTGCCCCCCGTGTTGTTGATGCTCATTGGTCAGATCTATCACAGTGGCCCTTTCAAATCTTTTTTTTTTTTAATATTACTTTAACCTACTTGGTCCAGAACAGAATTGTGCTTCCTTGGGTTATAACCACCAAAATAGCTTTACTCAGAAGCAAATGGCTTCAAAGTCCAGTTCCCTTTTGTGTCCACACCTGCACCAAGTTACCAGTGCACCTAACTGTGCATGTTTCAGGGAATTGACTTTGCTCTTGATTCTATTTCTGTATAAAACCACTTTTAACAAAGATGTTCTTGTCTTAAAGAATGCGTTCATTGACGGCGTAATTGAAAAGCTTCACCTCTTGAAATAAAACGACACAGAAATGTGAGTGGCCTTTGTTTTTAAAACCTTTGCTCCAGTGACTTCATTTTGGCAGCCAGGAGGTTGTTAACCTCTGCCAGAGTGAGGCAGTGTTTGGATAGTGAGGAAAGTCCATTTTAAAAGTGCTGCCTGAGTGACCACTAGGCATCTGAGCCACTGGGGACTCTGAGTGACATCTTGAAGAGTTTTAAGATGATTCATTTCTCCAGTTACTGAAGATCTTATGGGAACCTACAGGATGAGTGCATACAGAAATGAAAATGAAATTCAGTTTTCTGGCCTTTGTTTTACCTAAACACAAAGGTAATGGATTACCAGGGTTGAATTTCACAGAACCTGAATCCATCTGTTCTACTTGTCTGCCAACCAGGAGCCCCCTCTACCACATTCCCAATAAGTGGCCATCCAGTCTCCACTTGAAGATGCCTTTTCCTCCAGAAATGCAGCAGCATTTTGGGACAGCAGTGTCAGGGAAGAAGGTGGATCTGGGATCTCATTGATATCAGTGTTCCCTCCAACCAAGCAGATTGCAACCCCTCCATGGCTGCCCATCCTGTGGGACTTCTGTCCATGTCCTTCAGTGAGCTGGTAAGTTTTTCTTACAGCAAACCTAAATCCTTCTTTGTGCAATTTCAGCCCAACCCATTGTTGCTAGTTCTACCCCTTGGAGCTAAGCAGCACAGTGTATCCCTCTTCCACTTGACAGTCCTTCAGATATTTATAGGATCATAGAACTTGAAGGGACTAACCCCCTCACTGTACAGATGCAATTGGTGGCAGAGAACTTCAGTGAATTGCCTAAGGTCTTACAGATAGTAAGTATCAGTCAGGATTTGAACTCAGCTCCTTTGACTCTAGACCTAGAGCTTTTGTAGTGCTGGTATCTTACACAGATACCATTATATACTTTAAGATTTGCAAAGCATTTTACACATATCTCATTTGGTCCTCGTAACAGCACTGGGAGGTAAGTGCTGTTATGGTCCCCATTTTACAAAGGAATAAACCGAGGCACATAAAGGTGAAGTGACTTGCCCCGGCTCACACAGCTAGTCATTACCTGGGGCTGGATTTGAATTTGGATCTTCCTGACTCCAGGCCCAGCATTCTGTGCACCATGGCACCCCGCTCCTTCCCAGCTCTTAATGAAACTATTCGGTAAGTGTCTGACCTAGGCCATTTCTTGGCAATTCCATTAACTTGTGGTTTCAGCTGCCACTTTTATGGTGAACTCTAGACCTGCACTTTCTCAGTTCGGCAAGCACTCAGTGAGCACCTAGCTGTTCTGGGCACAGGAGATAAAAGCAAAACAATGAAAATAGCCTCCATCATCAGGGAGTTTATCTTCTACTGGGGGTAGGACAGGGAATTTGAGACTTGCAACTGAAAGGGACCTCTGAGACTTCATCCAGTCCCAACACCACTATCTTACAGATAGGGGAACTGAAGCCCAAGGTCCTATGGTTCATAAGTGGTAGAGCTGGGTTTTGAACCTACATCTGATAGCAAATCTAGTTTTCTATCCACTGTAACATGAGGTGCAACGTCACATATGGGGAAGGCCAAATAGACCAATTTTGGTTGCCTCTACCCCTGCACTGGTATACCCTTCCAGTAAAACAACCTTTTCCGTACCCTGAGGTAGACTTACAATATTTTACATACACTTTAGCAAGCCCTTGTTATATGCCTATTGTGTTCCACACAGAGGATCCCCAAGATCCCAGTATGTTTTCCTAGAGCTCTGGACTCAAGATGGTGGCCAACAAGTGAATCCACAACCTTAGGGAACCTGAGACATTCTAAGTCCACCTTTAGCTTGCAGCTATTCTCTTTGCTCATAAGCCTTTTATCCACACAATCCTAGAGCCCTTAGGTGTAGGCTGGCATCCAAATGAGTCCACCTAATTGGGCTTCTTCCTCACAAGTAGCTTACTGTCCCTATCTGGCCATGTTGTGGCATATATATGCCCCACCACAGCCTACCCTCTACCGTTATACTTTTTATGGTCTGGCCCAAGGCCCACTGGTTCCTACACCTCAGTGTCTATCATGTTCAGTCCCAGAGCCCTGGGCTTACAACACCTATCTGTAAGTGAGCATCTGGTCAGCAGGAGTCAAAGGATATGACCAAAGTCTTTTTAAAAGAAGAATTACAGAGAAGAAACAAAGTATCAATATTCACAAAAGAATGATCCAAATCACTAATTAAATGACTCTGAAGTTTTCCCCTCACATCCATCAGATGGGCAGATGAGCATGCTCTGGGCAGTTAAGCACACTAATATGAGTTGGTCCAACCATCCTGGGAAACCATTTGGACTTTTTTGAGAAAAGTTGCCAAACTGTTCGTAGCCTTTGACTCAGGTATATAACACTACTAGGCTTGTGCCCCAAAAGGTCCATATGATGGAGGTGGAGCAGGTAATAAAATGATGTGAATTATGAAATGCATTTAAAAGGACAGAATTCATGCATATCAAAATATTGGTGGCATCACTGTTTTTTGTAGCAAAAAGGTGGAAACAAAATGGGTGCCAGTCAGGGATTTGTGGTATATAAATTTAATGAAATGCTATTGAGCTACAGAAAATAAGATGAAGAATTCAGAGAAAATTGGCAACAGAATCAAATAATACAAGGATCCCTTCACAACCTGGGCCCTTCTAGCTTTCTCATCTTCTTACTCCTGACCCTCTTCCATGTACTCTGATCCAGAAACACTGGACTCCTTGCTATTCCTCGTGCAAGATACTCCATCTCCTGACTTCCTTTTCGCCGGCTGTCCCTCATTTCCTGGAATGCTCTCCATCTTCATTTCTACCTCCTGGCTTTCCTCACTTCATTCAGGTCATAGCCTTTCCCATTCCCCTTCAATGCTAGTCCCTTCCTTCTGAGATTACCTCCAATTTACCCTGTATATATCTTGAGGGTATGTAGCTGTTTTGTATGTTATCTTCCTCCATTAGAGAGGAGGGACCATTTTACCTTTCTTGTTATCCCAAGTACTTAGCACAATGCCTGACACATAAATGTTGATTTGACAGAAACATGGGAACATATTAGTTGATGGAGAGCAAAGAAAAGTAGAATAAGATGATATGCACAATGATAATAATGTATATGAAAATCACACTGAGACATCAAAATTCAGATTATATCCTATGTCTAATCTTGGCTTCAAAAAACTAACCCTAACTCTGCCTCTTTGTTAGAAGTGTCCTATTGAGATAGGAGGGAATACTGGGAAAGGATGGTGCAAAAAATAAAATGAATACCTTTTTTTTTAAGAAATAAGAAAAAAACACTCCAGACACAGATGGATTTATAAGCAAATTCTGTCATTCAAAGAACAATTAACACAGTATTACATAAATTGCTTGCAAAACAAAAGAAAGAATACATCCTACCAAATGCCTTTTATGAGACAAATATGGTCTTGATACCTAAACCAGGGAGAGAGAAAGCACAGAAGGAAAACTATAAATTAATATCTAATGCATATCAATGAAAAATATTGAATCATTGAATATTAGCAAGGAGGCTATTTAATCATATTAAAAGGAGTACATAGTCTAACCAGTCTGGATTTATACCAAGAATACAGGGCTGGTTCAATATTAGGAAAATTATAAACATGATAGACCTTATTAATAATAAAAACTACATGGGGCAGCTGGGTGGCGCAGTAGATAGAGAGGAGAACTTGAGTTCAAATCCGGCCTCAGATACATAACACTTACTAGCTGTGTGACCCTGGGCAAGTCACTTAACCCCATTGCCTAGACCAAAAAAAAGAGAGAGAGAGAAAAAAACTACAGTAATCTATAGATTTTTTTCAAAGAGCTTTTGACAAAATATGATACCAGTGTATATCTAAAAAAAGTATTGAAACATAAGAATAAACGGATCGTTTCTTTTCATGGCAGATTATATCCAAAACCAAGAGGTAGCATTATCTATAATGAAGAAATGCTGAAGATTAAGAGTAAAGCAAATATATCCACTCATTACTGTGATACGGTTCTAGAAATAGTAGCTACAGCAGTAAGACAAGAACAAGAAACTGGGGGGATAAGAATAGGTTTTTTTAAAAGCTACACGTTTATAATTTTTGTGGATGATTGTGGTGGTTTACTTGGAAACTTGAGATTCAACCAAAAATTGAAAACAGTAACTTTAGCAAGGTAGCAGAATGTAAAGTAAGCCTACAGAAACCATTGGCTTTTCTGTATAGTACCAACACAACCCAGTAGGAAGAGATTTTTTTTAAAAAATTCAAAATAACTGAAGAATCTATAAAATATGTTGGATGTAACCTACCAAGACACACATAAAATATAAGAATACAACAACAAAACACTTAACAGAATATAGATACTTAAATAATTGAAGACATTCATTGTTCATGGTTGGGCTGTGCAAATATACTAAAAAATGACAGCACTTTACATGTTTAGTGCTAGCAATCAAACTACCACAGGTTGCCTTATAGAATTAGATGAGATAATACCAATTTTCATCTGGAAGAATAGATCAAAAATCTCACAGGAAATGATGAAAGAAAGTGGGAGAGAAGGGAGCCTAGCGGTACCAGAGCAAAATATACTACCAATGAGTAGCCATCAAAACTACTTAGAATGAATTAAGAAGTTTAAAAGTTGGTCATTGGAACACGTCAGGCACATAAGGCCCAGAAATAGTAGAATAGTGTTTGAGAAATTTGAGACCATCAACAACCTGGATCTCTGTTCATTCCTGATCTCTAGTCTTGCACATGTAGCTGCCTATTGGATTTTGACTTGTGGCATTCTTCTGGAAGACTTTTAGTCCTTAAGTTGTCCCTATACATCCTGTCTTTGAAATCAATATTTTTCTTGTATAGAATTGATGTTTTCTTTGAATGTTACTGCGTTTTACTTCTCTTCTTCCACTTTGTCCTGCACTTCTATGTTTTTGCAGCCCCAATCAGTTGTTTCTCTTTAGTTCTTCTGGTAAGACTGGCAA